CAAAAACAGGATTCATATTTAAGCAGTGCTGATTGCAATGAGAAGAGGGCTAATCAAATTCAAGATGAGAAAGCTGGAAGTACAGATCATCCTTTTAAGATCCCTTCACTTCACCCTGTAATTCAAATAAAGACTTGCTTTATAAATCTGCTGAAAAGAGGTGACAGGTGAGGTTAAAGGCCTGGAACAAACTGTCAGAAAGGTAACAGAGGGTCCCTGAAGGTGGTGGCATAATCATAACATACATTTTGGTATGGTACTAAGTTTAAGAGGAATCAGAGTATGCTTTATTACTAAGATTTTTATTATAAACAGTAACATTTTTGTCAAAACTATATTAAAGACTGAAATTCCTCTTGGCAACATACAGATATTTAGAAAAGCCCTAGGAATTATTTGCAATGTTTTAATTACATATCAAATCTAAAATACAATTAAGGCAGTATTATCTGGTATATATAAAATTTGGTAAATCCCTGAGGCATTATGAACCAGCATTATATACTGTTCATATTTTTGATACTTTTGTTTTTAGAGCTGGAACACTAGTGAATAAAACCATAATAGCATATATGAAATTGTGATAAATGCTTTCTGATCATATAAACAGCATGTTTTCTGCTGGAACAAAATAAAATTTGGCTACAGCGATCTGTGGTGAGAGTAACAATGCTGTAGTCTGTGCTTCTGGTAATTCTTTTATGATTAGCACGTCACTATGGATAGTAATGAAGTTTACCAGACAAAATTAAAACCCAACTCTGTCAAGACTCATGTATTTTCTTGATGGCTCTCTTTGTTTTGCTTCCATGACATTTTGCTCATCATGCTGACTGGTTTATTATAGATCTTATTGATTTGTACAAGCCTCTCTAAGTTCTAAAGGACAGGCACTCACTTTTTAACCTCTGTATCACCAATGTGCACAACAATGCTTGGCACACAGCAGAGACTCAATGGATTTTTTGTTGGGTCAGATAAATAAATTGGCTACTAACAAAAATAAAAAGGAAAATAATTCAATCGTGCTTAACTCTTTTGTTCTTTCTTTTGTCCAACACTAGGTGAACTGTTACATATTTTTATGTCTTGGAACACCATCGGGGGAAAAAATCTCAAGTGACCAATTTGTACGATTTTAAATTGATATGAATTTCACATGAGATTAACACTAGTCATTTATTTTGAGGCTAGTGGAGGTTACACATAATCAAGACACACTTGATTTCATAATATCTTCCTTTTTTCCTACTACAAGAGAAGTTGATTTTTTCCACTGACACATTTATTATAAGCTTTACCCAAGAAAAATGATGGCAATTCTAAAAGAAGTGATTATTTTGAGCAATCTTAAATCAAGTGAATAAGTATACATACCACTTCTTTGAGAAATTGTTTTGAATGATCTGCAAACACTACTGTCTTAGGGGATAGCAGTATATTTGGCATCAAAGTAAGAACATCTTTTATGGCTATATAACAATGTGAACAGACTTAATGTCAGAATTGTATACTTGAAAGTAGCTAAAATATAGTACTTTGTTATGTATACGTCTTTACAATAAAACAAAACATTAATGGCATTCCTGTACTGATTAGTTGTGTTTAAGAAACATTTATCTCAAATTCTGCATAAAAACCTAGTAAGTTGCTTAAACGTTCCTTCCCTAACTTTTGTCATTAGTGGAGATACTTATGCCCAAATTCATAGATCTCAGTGCAGAGGGTATTAAGAGTGAAAATGATTTGCGGGGCTAGTGCAGTGGCATAACAAGCTAATCCTCTAACTGCAGTACCAGTGTTCCAAATGGGTATGATGTTCATGTCCCAGCTGAACCACTTCCAATCTGGCTCTCTACTGATGGCCTGGGAAAGCAGCCGCAGATGGTTCAAATCCGTGGGCCCCTGCACTCACATTGGAGACCCAGAAGAAGTTTCTGGCTCCCAGCCAACTAATCCATAGGGGCCATTTGTGAAGTGAACCAGCAGATGGAAGACCTCTGTCTCATCTTTTTCAAATAAAATTAACGAACTTTCCTAAACAAAACAAAACAATTTGAAGACCAACTTGCATCCTGTAAAGCAGGCCATAGGATTCATAGTGGGGCAGTCATGTTTCAAACAGGTTTATATGAGATCTTGCTGTCTATTATTAATTGAATAATCTGGTATCAGTAACAAAATCACTGCTATTCTCCCTGCCTGGAATAACATAGCTGATAAGTAACTGCTAAGAAACACTGACAATATTTAGTAACTGACACCAACATACACAGTACTAAGAATAATGCATCAAAACATCTATGATTGCCAAGTCGATGATACACATGAAGTTAATCCTTTTTAACAAACATTATCATAATCTACTTACAAACTAAAACAGAAAGATTGACCATATCAATATTAACGAAAACAAAACAAAAAAAAACAGATGAGGGATTTTCAGTAATCATGGCTTTAACTTACTGAAATCTAAATGAAAATTTAATAGAAACAGGCACAAGACAAGAAAACAAGGTCCTGAGAAGGATTTAATGTCACTTTCCTAAGAATCTCTCATCCAAACTCCTCCTAATCTAGTGAGTATTCAATAATATCAAATCTCAGTTTAGACTATAAGCCCAAAATAGTTTAGTGTCCACTTAATAAAGGAAGAAAATGTATCTTAACATGTTATGACATCAAGAAAACAAGCTGTTTCATCTTAAATAGCAGAAAATAAACTTGTAAAGTTTTTTTTCTCTCTTTTTCTGAGAGAATGGTGTTGGGAAGCAAATCTCTATTTTCATGATGATCGACTACAGACTGCCGTTTCATACATTTTCCATTCAAAAAAATAAAAATCTTTATTAAAACCAACATAAGACACTCTGTCAAATTATAACTGCAGGTGTAACAGGTCATCTCTGTAATGCAATACTTCGCTTATATCTATTGGAGATTAGCTCCACAAAACCCACAAATATCTAAATCTATTGATGTTGAAATCTCTCATGTAAAATAACACAGCATGTGCATATCAACACCTAATGAAGTGTAAACTACATGTAAGTAGTCACTACATCACATTGTTTAGATAATGATGAAAAAAATGTGCACATGTTCAAAACCTTTTTTATCTGAAATACTTTTCACAGCTGGTTGAATCTGGTGATGTGGATATGGGATGTAGTGGAACACAACTATATTATTAAATTTGCATTGATCTTTTACAGCTAGGGTAATGTAAAAACATTCTGATTTTAGAGTCAGAGGCTAATTATCTACAGTGCCTTAAAGCAGTACACTTTTATATGATGATTCATGTAATTTTTACCATTATAGAATCGGGGACAGACAAAACATCTTCCAGTCTACACTAATTTGAAAATAAGTGTTAATCCTAAAGAACACACAAATCAGATTCTCTCTCCCCACACAAGATTAAGAAAGGCAAACTATTTATGACAAGAAGTTGCTTGCCAATATATACAAAGGATACCATTTCTACCCCAGTTCTGATTACAAAATTCTTGCAAACTATATTATATTCACTCTTTCCTAAAATCATCTGCCTGAGAATGTAGGTCCTGCTTTTTCAATCTTCTCTCTTTTTTCAGAAATGGGACACTTGTCCCTCTAACCTAAACAAAGGGAACAGTAAAACCCTGATACCATGTTAGGTGATTCTAACGTAAGACAGGTGTGGCCCTTCTCGTCATCTGATAGAAGATTTAACATTTGTTGAGATAGTTTGCAATTTTTGTCCCATATGTGGAAGGAACGCAAATAACTGAGATCTACAATTTAGATTAGGCCAAGAATTTGGCCTAGAAAGATGCAGTTCAAATTTTTAGCTAGTCATATTATCTCATTTCTTCAGAACAAGCCATTTTAAGAATTTGTTTTATGTGTTGGGGGGTAAAGTGTTTCTTTTTTTGATTGAAGCTATACTCATTTAAATTTATTGTTGTTTAACTTAAATAAAATAGGAAAGTTCCTCAAGGAGAGAGCAGCATAGCACTACATTTAAGTCAAAGCTATGCAGCAATGTTAAATATAAACAGAGTTGTGATGGCTGAAGTTTAAGGCAATTCCTAAATTAGGATGTAACTGGATGTATGATAATGTATAAAACATCGTTTAGGGTATCAGGCAGTGGAGACATCCTGTTCTTGTGTCAGAACGTGCAGTAATATCCGCATCAATCCTTACTGTGCATTTAATCTCTTTGGGAGTTGCTTCCTGAGTTTTCCTGATTCAGTATTACCATATGAATACAGAACAGATCTTTGGACTTAAACATAAGAATTCAAAATTTACCAAAAGGACAATAATGTTAAAATTCATGTATCAAGAATGTTCTATTAGTTTGGGGGCTTCTATGCCCAGAGTTTGATCTGCAACGGAGAAATGAAATAACCAGCTCTAATTTTATATATGGTGATGATATAAAAAAATCATTTCTTTAGAATCAAAGATAGGAATAGTTAAAAGGTTATGTAGGAAAAGGCAATTACAGGAAGAAAGCTTCATGGAGATAAAAAAACAGGAAGGGGAAAGGGCACTAATCTCCTACAGCTCCAATATATAAAAGATATTTCATGGAAAGTAATTTGTTACACTATGAATATAAAAGTAGGCTCATGAAGTTCTCCGTTTTTAAAATCTTAATTTTCCGTTATGGTTAAAAAAAAAAAAAGGCAACTGAGGTTAGCGATACCAATAGCTTCCATTTTTGTTTCTTTTCTGGGAACCCAAATTTTGTTTTGAGGGTTATATTTCTGAATGAAGTGACATGCAATCTTTTAAAATGTAATCAATCACATCACCTAATAGAGTGAAATGTAATACTTACAACCTGTAGTAGAATGGATGAGTCAAATGTGCATGTTTAAATCTACTAGTACAATGTAAAAACTCAAAACACATAAAATACTCACGTTTGGACATGAAAAATCCAACTACACTGTGCCTGAATTAATGATTTCTGGGTAACACAACTTTGTTAGGAGACCTACCTGAATAGCTGAATTCATGAAACATGTATTTCCCAAGTTACTTAGGCCACAGAGGCCTGGCTGTTCATTGTTCCTTCCAGGTTCTGAATAGTCATAGCTCTTATAAGCAGTGTATGAAGGGAGACAGTAATTTGAATTTTTCACACTGGAAGACAAAAAAATTCATAATGCAGCCAATTATATCATGGTTTTAATGAAGAGTGCTTCATGACAGAGTTATCAACATTAAATTTCTTTTATAAAGCACTCAGTTTGGGTACTTTTAAAGATGTGAATCTCAACAACAACAAAATGCCCTGGATTAAGGTACCTTTTACCCAGTCAATAAAATCAGCGCATCATGTATCACACCAACCAATACAAATCTACCCTTGATTAACTGGAGCAACCTCACAGCTTGCTCCATTTTTGTTGTTCCATCAAACTTAAAACATTTAGATTTTAAGCACCACCCACAGCAATAAATCATCTAATTTATGGTCCATTTGCTTCCTTATACTATAACAAAATGTTACAGTAATAGGAATGTACATTATAGCAACAGGAATGTAACTAAATGTATAGTAATAGAAAAAGCTTGGGGAGAGATTCCCAAGGCTACTGTGACATCACTGTTCTGATGCACTGAAGATTTTATTTATGGCTTGTAATAGATGAGCAAAATCTAGCATTCAATCAACCAACCTGGATTCAGGAATTCAAGTATTGTTCTATACGCAAGTACATCCCAGTATTATCTGTCTTTTCTTTCTTCTAGCTTGTTAGAATAATACAGTTTATTTAACCAGACAAATATAATCTCAGGATAATTTGTACTGTTCATCTTTTTAATTGAAAAATATTTATTTTATTTATCTGAAAAGCAGAGTTACAGAGATGTAGAGGGTAAAAGCAGAGAGGGATCTTCCACCTGTTAGTTCTCTTTTCAAATGGCTGCGGATGGCTGGGGCTGAGCCTGACTAAAGCCAAGAGCTAGGAGATCCTTCTGGGTCTCCCACGTGGGTGCAGGACCCAAGTACTTGAGTCATTCCCCACTGCTTTGGCAGGCACATTAGCAGGGAGCTGGACCAGAAATGCAGCAGCTAAATACAAACCAGCACCCACAGAGGATGTGTGCTGCAGGCGGCAGCTCTACCACTATGCCACAGCATCAACCCCATAAATGTTACTCTTTAAAAAATCCCCATCATCTTTTAAAATCTGAAAAACATGATAATTTGAAAAAGAGCAAAGACGCAAATATATGATACATATAAAAAATAATTTAGTGGAAATAATGGATTCTCCCTTTTGTTTATTCTTAAGTCATTCAATCAACTAACCAATATATTCTCCGAAAGAAAAATGGAGAACTTCCATCTGCTGCTTTACTTCTCAAATGGTTGCACAGCAGGGGCAGAAGCTAAGAGTTTAAGAGTTCAATCAACTCTCCCAAGTTGGCAGAAGGAACCTAAGTATTTGAGCTATCACCAAAACATCTCAGGGCATTCATTACCAGGAAGTGCCTTTATGAGTCAGAGCCAGGGATCAAAAACAGGTTCAGCAAATATGTGATGCTGGATATCTTATTTAGTGTAATATTTACTAGGCCAAATACTTGCTCTTTCCTTAGTAGGACCTCTTATATAATAGGATACTTTTGGATATAACTCAGTAGCATATTTCAATCATTATTTATTCATTAGAACAAATCTGATGAGAATCAAGATTATTAAATTTGATGCACTGCTTTACAGTGCATCATTAGATGCTAAAAGCAAATGATGATTTATGTAAATAAGTTTTATAAGCAAACATAACGAGTCTGTAATTCCAACAATCTCAATGGGCTGCAATTTTCCTGGTCTTACTTCAAAGACTAGCATTGTGGCACAGTATGTCAAGCTATTGCCCGCAATATCAGAAACCCCATTAGCTTCCAGCTCATGTCTCAGGTCCCTGATAGTGGCCTGGGAAAAGTCATGAAAGATAGTCCAAGTTCTTGCGCCCCTGCCACCCATGTGCAAGACCTGGACGAAGCTTCTTGCTCCCGCCTGGCTCAGTGTTGTCCACTGCCACCAGGTGGGGGAATAAATTGGCTGATGGCAGAGCTCTGTTTGTAACTCTCCCAAGTGAATAAATAAATCTTAAAAAGTATCCAAATGTTTCAGTTTATAATTTCATATCACATATATTCACTTTATTAAATAATTTTAAATGAATACTGTTATACTGCCTGTTCTAACAAAGCCTTTACTAAACACGCACACATAAACAACAAACAGGTAAATCACAAAAACTGTATCAACCTACAATTATACACAAACAAAGCTAGCTTTCTGATGTTTTCACATTCGCTCTTTCCATCACACACCAAAAAGATCAACTCCTAACAAGGCAATCCACACTAAGATTAAACAAATATAGCAGGGCTTAAATCCCCGATAATTCAAATTTAGATATGCTCATGTTGTCGCTATTTATCTGTTTTGCGCTAAAGTAAAAACTTGTAAAGCATAATAATAATAGGATTCAAGTATCTTCTTTTCTTGTAGATGTGATCCCTGTGAGTTATATTTTATTTCACATTCATAATAACTAACAATATTTAAAGTACCTACTAGCAACCCGAAACACAACCAATCATGACTGGATTAATGAATTTGCTGTGTGATGAGAACAAAAAGCTTAACAACAACAAAACCCCGCTTATTATTGTATTATTATTGGTTATAATAAAAATTAAGATAATTTATGTTACTATAAAAATGTAAGGTCTGCATTTCCTACTCATTCTACACCTTCCAATTATTCCAGTGGCAAAACTGTATTATAATTTAACCATCCAGATACAGGGAAAGCATGCCCAAATACATGCTCATGCCCACACATACACACAAACACGCAAACATGTACACACTGCACGCAAACACATACACACTACACACAAATAAAAAACCAAAAAGCACATTTATAAGCTCATTCTAAAAGTATTTATTCAGACATCTGACTCTTCCTGCATGTAACATAGAAGGATGCTGGAAGCTCTGCTCTTCTTTGCAGCACCATGATGGAATTTGATGGGACAGGAATTCTTATTTACTGTGAAATGAACAAAAAACTTATTTGCAAAATAATTTTGATTTCTGGTTTTAAAAACTGGAATCCTTAAAAGATATCTACATGTTAGGTGTATTCTAAAACAGGTATTATACTTTGTCAACCAGCAGTTGTTTAAATATTTTAACGAAATAACCAGAAATGTACACCCTGAAGATGATCTGTCTCTATCACATCTCATGACTATTTTCTACTAACTTTTTCATACAGATTTTTCTTAGAAGGTTATGGTGTTTTGCAAAAATAAAGAAATATTAATGAAAATCCTAATCTTATACTAGGTTAATTCTATGTTATAAATCTATGCTCTTTAATGAAGATATTATAAACACAATTGTCTTTGTAATCTAAATCTTTTGTACAAAATGTTTAGATTGGTTTTTTAATCAGCATTGATATTTAACATTAAAAATATCACAAATGTATTATTTAACTCTCAGAACTACAATTATGCCCACTTTGCAGTTAGTGAAATGATGGTTTCAACTAAACAACTTATCAAGAGTTAGATAGCTAGCTCTGGTAGTCCTCCACATCCACAGTTCCTACTGACTGCTTAATCTCACACAGGGAATCACTTCCACTGCAAATAACAGATTCAAACGAATTAATTAAAAAAATTGAAATGTGTTCTGATGTGGACTGCCAAAGTTGGACCATTTATACACTGAAAATATTTCTGAAAGTAGTATTAATAAAACATAGGTAATAGAACCATTACCAGAATAAGAATCTGGCAGACATAAAAAATACACATAAATTATAAATGAATCATATACAGATACACAAGGATTAACACATAGATTATTCTAAAAAGCCAAAAACCCTAGTTTCCAGAAGTTAATTTATAATTAATATTCTTCAATAAAACTTGAATTATGCTTAAGTGAAATATTCTTATTTCTCAGAATGAAAACTTGTATTTTAGTAATGAATAAAAGTGTTGAATAGTTACTCAAGTCTTAAATCTGAAAATATATTTCACATAAACTCACATATTATAACTACTGTTTTTAATATATAATTTATACTTTTGGGATATTTTCACATATATGAACTTTCAAAAATACACTTAGTCATTACCTACTTCACACACTTAAAAAAACTATGCTCTTTCAGTCTGAAGTCTTAAGCTGCTACTTTTTTCAACAAGGTGAATAAAAATTTAAAAAAATTTTATATAAAATGATTATTCATATAAATATAGTGGTATTAACTCAAGTTTTTAAAGATTAAAAGCAGCAAAATAGGCATTCTATGTATAAATGCTTTAATTTTGTACCTTACTAAGAATAAATTCATTCATAAAAATTACTTTTATGTGACCAAAAACTGAACTTTTCACTATTAAAAGTGATTAACGTGTAAAGACTATTTTGAGTCAAAATCGGACTGATAAGATAAAAAACGTAAACTAGCCATAGAACAAGTAAACTTGTTCCAAAACTTAAGACTCCAATTCCTCAGAATCACCTGTGCAACAACAAGTCCCAAGACCAGATTGCACCATTACGTTCTACTATGAAGGGGAAATAAGACAAAAACAGACACACCAGACCACATATACTAATACAAGATTACTTCAAAAAAGTTCACAGAAAAATCTCATTATAAGATAAATTTATTTTTGTGTCAAAAAACCTGTGAAATTCATGCAGTCTTAATATGCATTTCTATGAACTTTTTGAAGACTTCTCATATGGTAAATTTGATCAAAATACAGTCTATATCCAATACAGTTTACATAAAGTTAAAAAAAAAAATCTCTCCAAAGCATGACTACAAATACATATTATACCTGTAAATGAATTCTTTTATAGTAAATGGAGCCACCTGCAATTGGTAGAAAGACAAGCAATATTTTATCTCCTATTAAAAGATTGGTTTTGATGAATTAAAGTAAATCATATAAAATGCAACCAAATTATACTTGAGGATTGTTTTAAACTCTTTTGTCATATGAATATGCATTTTAAAGAGAATATATAAAACTAATTCTAGATATTCACAGTGTCTTCAAGATTTCACTGTTATATTTACAACGTAATTTTAATAGCTAGGCTGCACAAATCATTTTGTGATTTTTTTTTAAAGAAACAGTGTCCAAGGTCAAAAATTTTCACACTGGCAAATTTTTATAAGAAAGAGGAAATATTATTTATGCTTTTAATTATACATTTCTAATAAACTCTTACAAACGTATCCTTTATTTCTGGGCCATTTGTTTATTTTCTAATTGTTTTCAAATTTTTTTCACATTTCTCTAGACCCTGACATCTTAAAAAAGGTTATAATTTGTAACTAGTACTTTTTCCCATTTATTTTCCTGACAGTTTTCTTGGATTCTCTACAGTGATGCAATGTTCTCAATAACAGTTTACAGATGATCTGCTTATTCTTTATTAGTCTAGAATAAAATATACAAACGTCCGTTTTTGAGTTCTCTGTGGTTCCGTTGCCCTGGAGGCATATTCTTGGTCCATGCTACACCGAATTCTCTAGTAAGTTGTGATAACCAGTGGGACAAATCACTTTTCATTATTTTTTGATTCCAAAATGATTTTGGCTATTGTACCCTATTTAATTCAAGTGTAAGAAATATTTTGTTAAATTTTATTCCCCAAAACATGTTTCCTAAGGGGAAATTAATTATAATGTCAATAGTGTTATTTTGAAGATTATTTCACAATTAGCTTACAGGAAAAATCAGATGTCATTTATGAGCTTGAAAAACTGTGACATCATTTAACTAAACACTGTGAATATATTAACTACAAAATACCCACACAACCCAGAAGAGAACAAACATTTTTCCCCATAATTTCATTAGACTCAACAAATAATGAGTGCTTTCTACTTTTTTCTTGTGGCAACATAGCATACACATATCTGTAACTAATATAAATTCTAAAATTCTGAATTTTATTATTTACTGTGTGGTACGAGAATTGTTTCTTTGAACACCCTTAGGAAAAGATTGGTTTTTTTCATGCACATAAAAATCTCTGTGTGTGTTCTCTATTTGAGAATTACTGTCGCAACCTGTAAGAGTACTCTATTCTAGGAGAGAGCTCTAAAATGACATCTGAAGTTTACACTTGATTACAAAACTGAGTTCTAATAGTTGGATGTGTATTTCAATATTAGAATGTGAAATTCTAAAAGTGGTTTATTTCTTTTAATAAGCTCTAAATATGTGCTAAGTCAAGAAGTAATTTAATACTATGCTTTTTATTTCTTCTGTAATTACGCATAAAGAACTGACCAATAATTTAAAAGTTAACCAATTTGAATGCAGTGAGATTTATTTTTAATTTTAGATACAAGAGATTTTTTGCAACCACAAAAGGGCGATCAATTAAACAAAGAGGCTTTAAGATTCAGTGCTTACTTTCTGTTGTTGATGTTGTTATAATTATTTGATAGAGATGAAGGAGAGATCTTTGGTAAAGTTGAAAAATTGGATGCACCTGGGGACCTTTAAAAATATGAAAATGTTAAATTAGATAAAAGATGAAGATTTTGAAATTAATTATGAAATAAAGAAAAGAACTAACAGATGACAATGTTGTAGTAAATGAAAGCTGGAAAACAGTTTTATGTGCAAAATCACTTTTATATTCTCCGATTTTCAAACTCCAGTGTATTTTCCCTTTTAAAATATAATGGCATTGTAAGATCAAACTGAATATACAACTTTTTATTGTTCTTATAGAAGTCTACTAATTCAATATACTGATTTCTTGGTTCAGCTAATCATAACTAACATGGTGCAATGAATTTCCAAAAGGAATGGACCTAAAATATTTTATTTTATTAGTAGGTACCATGTCATTCTACTAGTACACATGACTGAAGCAGATATGAAAATGTTATCAAGTTTTAAAAATTAAGACAATGGGGATAGAACAGCTTGAAAATTCTAAACATAATCTTAAGAAATAACATTTGGCTCACACTGACCTTTGAAAAACCGGAAGAAAAATACTTCGTGTAAATCTACTATAATACTTCACTAACTCAGAATCTTTGAAAAAAATCTCAATCACTATTGGCTTTTACTCATGCAACACTTTACAGATAATATTTATGGTTAAAACATCTAAATGAATGAAACACTGGAAGCTTCCTACAAGATTTTTCTTTTTAATTTTCAGAGCCAAGTTTTTTTTTTTTAAACTTTATTTATTTTGTTGGAAGTCAGATATATAGAGAGAAGGAAGAGACAGAGAGGAAGCTCTTCTCTCCTATGATTCATTCCCAAGTGGCTGCAACAGCCTGAGCTGGGCTGATCTGAAGCCAGGAGCCAGGAACTTCTTCCAGGTCTCCCACATGGGTGCATGGTCCCAAGGCTTTGAGTCATGCTAGACTGCTTTCCCAGGCCACAAACAGGGAGATGGATGGGAAGTGGAGCTGCCAAGATACAAACTGGTGCCCACATGGGATCCTGGTGTGTGCAAAGTGAGGACTTTGGTCGCTAGGCTACTGCACTGGGCCTCACCAAGTTCTATCCTATGGGTTTGTAAAATCCTAGGTTTTAGCAGCTAGTCAGGGTAAACTGCACATTAACAGAGCCCAAAGTGATTAGTTTTCAAAAGTCATATTCTCTATGAAATGGCCAATGGGCAGGAAAGCATAATTTGCAAAATTTGCTCTTAGGTAATTTGGACTGATCTCTGTATTTATACATATGCAGACTGTCAGGTAATATTTCTTTCATTACAAAATATTTAATTCTGAAATTTTACACTTCTGGAAAACTTAAGAAAAAAATTTTTTGGATATTATTTTTAAAAATTTTGCTGGTAAAAGCTGTATATAGATGAATTACTTACGTAAAATTTCTATTTAGATGCCTTTCTGGAAGAAGTCCATTTATCAAGTTTTTATTTTACTTTATTAAGCTCAAAACACCCATTATAATCCAAGTATTTCCAGGCTCTAGTTCAAAAATATTAATTGAAGTCAGAAATATTCTAACATTTTTTAATTAACATGAAAAATTTTAAGTCAGACAAAAAAATCGAATTAATTAAAGACTGATTTTTTTCAAAATGTGACTCATTACCACCTTTGTGGAACACATATATAAGATAAAATTTCCTGCATTTACTTACAGTAAAAATTATGGAAATAAAGATTCATTACACCTAGTAAATTTGGTCCAGGAATATGGCATATGTGAATTTATACATATACATTCTAAGCAATATACACAATAATATAATATATATTATGTGTATTCTTTTTTCTGTCCACTTTTTAACCGTTCATTAGCCTTATAGTAACAGAAGGAACAAGCAAAAATATCATGGAGTTAACCTGCATTTTCATAATGGCTTCTATGGAATTCATTCACCCTAAAGTTTCAAAAATAATTTCTGTACAGCTTGATCTTCGTAAGTACTAGGAATACAAAGAGCTGTTGATCTTAAATAGCTCACAAATTTAACAGAAAAAAATGACACATAAACAAAATAACTGAAAAACCATATAAGCAACATAACAAATTTTAATATAAAATTTTGTGAATAGTGACATGAGATAAGGAATAAGAGCAGGTAGGAATTTACAGGGATTATTACCAGTGTAAAGAACAGATTAGGCAAACATGAGACTAGACATTATAATGTATTTAGGGAATTGCCAATAAGTCTAGCTTGACTGAAAAAGAAGGAAGCATGACAGAAACACAAGTTTTATGTTCTGTGAAAGAATTCGGATTTTATTCAAATGTGCAGATACACTAACAAAATCAGATTTGCATTCTAGGAAGATAATTTTTGAGAAAAGAACCTGAAGATTGAAGATCAGTTAGTAAATGACAAAAGCAGGAATTAGTAAGGGCTGCGGTTAGAGTAGGCAGTGGCATATTGCCTTGGAGATTTAGGAAGCAGTTTTCAAAGTATGACTCCCAGAATCTGGGACCTTTCAGACCCCTTTAGCGGTGCTGTGTGATCCAAAGTATTTTTATAATAATGCCATGGTACTGTTTAAATGTTATTTGATCTCTTTCACTGGATGGGGAGCTGCATTAATAATGTAAAAATCATAAGGGGTAAAGTGCTGACTCCTTAGCCTGGGTAATAAGCCATAGCAAGGTTTTGTAATCACCATCTCACAGAGGAAAACAAAGTCCCACTTAATAACATTCAAGCTGAAAAGATTAAAATGATCAACTTTATTAAGTCTCGGCTATTATACTTCATACCAAATTACTGTAGCTATCTTGATTAAAAAACAAAAACTAGATTATTTAAATTGCAAGCAGTACAAATAACCTTTTCTTCCACCAAAGCTGCTAGCATTCATCAGCACTTTCAGATGTCTCTAGAACACCAGGTTTCATCATAGACACAAGTCATTCTTTATTCAACACCACTTTATTTCTTTTGAAAGACAGAGTGAGCTTCCATCTGCTCACTCCCTAAATGCACACAACAGCTGAAGCTGGGATGTGGCCAAAGTCAGGAGACCCAGGAAGTAAATCCAAGTATACATGTCACCAGAGACCCAACGACTTGAGCTACTTCCCAGATGCAGATTAGAAGGAAAGCAGACTTAGCAGTGCAGCCAGGACGACACCCCACACACTGGTGATTCGACATGGGATTACAGGTACCTCAACTGTGATCTAAATCACGAGACCAAACATCCACCCGCTGGACAAAATCCATGCTCCTATGGTAGAGGAGCTGACTGGTTATTCAGAGTTGGCCACAGCAGGTAGACCACCAAAACGGACAATTTCATTGCAAGAAATAAAATTCAAGCTTTCCAACAAAACTCAGATCTTTGGAAACTCTGATTCTACCACCGTGAGGTTGACAGATTCACTATACTTGGACTTTCTTGTAAGACTGATGCTTTAAAAATGTGATTAAAAACAAAAACAAACCCAAAAAACTAAACCCTGCAAATGAGATTTGCCAAATACTTGAAAGATCTGCATAAAATGATTTTCCAAGTGAGCAAAAGGTATGCAGTTATACATAAAAAGATGTTCATCTGACACGACTTCAGCTTCTACATTGCAATGAACATTCCAGACTCATACGAGTACTAACCATTTTGGTGATTCTATCATCTGTTATATCACAAACACACATAGATATATAAATATGAAAGTCAGGTATACAGAAGGAACAGAGAGACAGGAAAATCTTCTGTCCAGGAATCCCAGTGCGTTCAAGGGGAGGACTTCAGGCGCTAGGCTACCGCACTAGGCCCTCTATAATCTGATTTTGATGTGGTATACACGATTGAAAACACTTCTCCTGTTTCAAGCACTTATTTGTGAAAAAAATTTTCTTTATGTACATTAAACAATGTAGCACAATAAATTTAATGCATAAGCATGTGAGAATTGAGCAGGCTTCTATTTAGCCATATATTAAAAAAAAAAAAGTAAACCAATGCTACTCTTAGTGATTATTTTTGTTTTGGAAAAATGATTTTTCATAAAAATGATAATGGCTGAGTTATTTACAAATGTAAAATTTTTAATTGCTCATCTGATAAATAATATAACACACACAAAGAAAAATTCTTTGGATCTTTAATTCTCAAGAATGTAAAGGGGTACAAGACCAAAACACTGGAGGAAAAGTTCAGGGTTAGGAGGTGGAACCTGTTACACTGCTAGCTAATACAGATGAAAGAAAATGAGGCTGTGGAAAGAACTGGTGGGAAGGATGGCTCTGAGATGGTATCTGAGCCAGGGAATACAGAAATGAATACAGTTCAGGCTGTGAGGAATGTGAGATGGGGTGAGTCCTATATGACACTTAAATTTAGAATTTGAAAACATGTAATGCATATTGTACAATAGTATATTTCTGCCAGTTGGAAACGAGATACAAGACTAGTATAGAAACTACCATCTGATTTTGAGTACCTAATGTCAGTGAGGAAGAGGTTTTTAGACAGATCTTTAGAGAACCAATGCATTTAAGATATGGGCAGAGTTACTGCCTGTGGTCAGGGATGCTGTGGACTGCACTGTGCCTGGGAGTCTCTTTCACAATGAAGCTGTACACAGGTGTGTAACGCAACGTGACAACCCTAAAGAGGAAGCCTAGCAGAAAGGAGATGGGTCAGACCGGAAAGGAGAGTCCTGAGGGCAAGGGCAGGGGGTGGGGTCAAAGAAATGGTATCATAGATTCAAATTTGACACCAGCAACCCATATGGACTCTGGTTCAAGTTCAGCTGTTCCCACTTCTGATCCAGCTCTCCACAAGTGCACCGAGAAAGTAGCAAAAGATGGCCCTAGTTTTACAGTCCCTGTACCCAAGTGGGAGATCTGGATGAAATTTTGGGCTTCAGCTGGTGGTCATGTCCAATTCTAGTCTCAGCCATTGTAGCCACTGGGGAGCAAAGAAACTTCTCTTTCTCTCTTCTCTACCTTTAGAATAAATATTGTTTTTAATGAAAAAGATTGTTATATTCCTAGGCTAGGAAGAAAGATGATATATTGGTAAAAAATAAAAAGTATCTGTTACATGTGTGGCAGTATGTAGGCATTCTATATGCACAGAAAGACAATTAAAGAAACGGCATAGTCTGCACAGCTCAGGAATAGATCCTGAGGGGAGACGAACTGTCCTTAAACAGAAAGGCCATCAGAGACAAGCTGGATGTGGCCCAAGGTAAAGCTGAAATGTAAGAACTCTGAAATGCCGCTGCAGACAACACTGATGAGTGAAAACATATAGCAGGCTTTTCGGAAGTTGACTAGTTGGCATGTAGATGATGACCACATGCTTTATTTAGCTCTAGGTGATATAATTCAAATACATGGCTTACTATCAACTATTTTAATGTCTTTCTAGAGAGAAGAAATGCTTAGAACATTGTACACTGATTGGATACTTATGTCACATGCCTAGCTTTTTAAAAAGATTTATTTGAAAGGCAGAGATACAGAGAAGCAGCAGAGTCTTTCATCTGATGGTTCACTCCCTAAACAGCCACAATGGCCAGATTTGGGCCAGTCTAAAGCCCGGAGTCTCCTTAGGATCTCCCATGCAGGTGCAGGGATCCAAGGACTCTTGCTATCCTCGACTGATTTCCCACACCACCAGCAGGGAGCTGAATCAGAAGTAGATCTGAACTGGTGCCCAGGAAGCTGGAACCATGGGTGGAGACCTAACCCACTATGCCAGGATGTGGCCCTACCTGTCCAGTTTAAAAACTAATTTTGGCCTTTTGCGGCTAAGTGTATTATAAGGCAGAAAGTCACCTCTTAGCAAGATAGAAAAAAGTAAGACATCAATTTAGCTGACTGACTTTAAGAAAATTAAACCTTATCTCTGACAAGTAGATGTCTCTAGTATCTGAATTGTCCCATGTTTAAAAATTTCAACTAGAAACATGTAATTCATAAGCATGTAATTCAAAGCTAAGCTTCCCACTGAAACAGAAACAAAAAAAGAGATTGTGCTTGGTTAACTGTGTATTTAACATACAGCGATAGCCTAATGCCATATTGAGCAACTGTGTCTGAACACTGATATAGCAAAACAAGTAAAGATTTCCAGTTATTTTCAAATCTAACAATATAAAATAACTAGGGAAAAATCTAACTAATAATGTTAGACAAAACAATATCAATTTTAACAAAACGTCCTTTTTCCATTTAGTAACTATCCTAAGACAAATTTTTAGAGAAAAAGAAAAATTTAAACCTCTTGAACTATTTAAAGTAATTACTGTTGTGAGACACATATGCATTCAAGGAAGCACGTGCTGTGTACCTAGTACTAAACTGCTTAGAGACAGGAAAGCACATTTATGGGAATTTATAGGTAAACTGCTTCTCATAGTTTTACTTCAATTTCTTACTTTCGTTGCTTAATTTTACAAATATTCTATTAACAAAAGCACTCCTCTCTTAACTGAAGTCCTCTCTTCTACCTTTATGAGACTCAGTCTTTAACTTCCAACTCTAGTTGTTCCTTCAGAAATTTGAAGTGCACACAAATTTTCCTGTGCACCCAGTATTACCCAGATCCAAAAAATAACCCCCTCCACTATTCCTGCTAGGGTAGTTTAAAGCAAGCTTCAGATTCCCCAAATCTTAACTATAAATACTAACATACACAACACTAACAGAGAAGGAATCTTTTGTTCCATACCACATGTCAATATCAGTGCCAATGTCTACTTCATGTTCATTTCCTCCTTCCAAACTATGTTTTCCTTCCCAAATGTTTAGCCTGAATCATGACGCAAGAAATGCCATACATTTGCATATCTACTTTTCCTTTCAGTTAACTTCTCTCATTTCATCTAACTGTGACTGTATTTATTTTTCCATGTTTTCTTCTATGGATAACCTTGATTTTATATGTGCTTCTGTAAACTGTTCAAGTCCTTGTTTGGAAAAATAAGGAGAGAATGAAAGCATTCAATACAGGCCAGGCATCCCTAATCTGAAAATTTGATGACTCAACAAGTTTTGGGTTCAGGAACATTAGGGACATCTCTTGCTTGAAACACTTTAGATATGAGATAATCTTTAAGTATCAAACATCTATGTGAACTCTATACTTTAATTACATTCATTGATACATTTAATATTCTTCAAATGCTGACTCTAATACTGGTTCATCTTGAATGTGACGTGCACGTCAAGTTCGCGGATTAGCGACGAGCCAAGTTCGCAGGGTAGCGACGAGTCGAGTTAGTCAAGTTCGCGGGTAGCGACCATTAAAGCTGGGTTTGCCGCCATTCAGGATCGCGGTTTGCCGCCATTCACCATCGCGGTTTACCGCCATTCACGATCGTGGTTTGCCGCCATTCACGATCGCGGTTTGCCGCCATTCACGATCGTGGTTTGCCGCCATTCACGATCGTGGTTTGCCGCCATTCACGATCGTGGTTTGCCGCCATTCACGATCGCGGTTTGCCGCCATTCACGATCGCGGTTTGCCGCCATTCACGATCGTGGTTTGCCGCCATTCACGATCGTGGTTTGCCGCCATTCACGATCGTGGTTTACCGCCATTCAGGATTGCGATCTAGCGCCCATTCAAGTTCGCGGTTAACGATCAATTTCGCGATTTGACAGTCGGTCAAGTTTGCAGGTTAGCGGCGATCAGAGATGTTAAAAATATGGCCAATTTAACTTTTTCAGCGCACATACAGCCTTTATTACAGAAACTGCTGATGGTACTGTTGTTTTTGCAAACGGTGCAAAGGATGACCGTATGGTTTCTGGAGGAGGGCCTTTTGATCCTGCCACAATGGGAGCACTTAGGCAGAGACTTAGCTAAGGCAGAACACCAGGAGCCCCTTCCTCCAGGAACAGTCAGGTTCTGGACATTGATTAAGTCTTGCCTGACAGATGGCACTGATA